TTTTCGGAACAAATTTAATTAACCTATTACCTAACGTTATACTTTAAGTAAGTGCCCAATATGTATCTGATAATAATTACCTTAAATAATTAGGTACCTAAGAAATATCTGAAAATGTGTGTACTAGGAACAGTATTATTGACGATAAGTGTTATACGGCTGCATTTAAAAGTTTAGATTGTTGGGGTAATAATAATTTGGGGAAAGTAAACTTTCTTCAAATATTATTTAAATTATTTTAAATTTTTTGTAGACATTGTCTGTCATACAATTTTTTGAGTATGGTTTTAAACTAAAATTGCTAAAAATTGAAAATATTAACTATTTTAATTAGGTAGTATTTATTTGGTAATAGAATAGAACAAAAATGTGAACAAAAAACTCTCCTCAATGTATAAGTATTTGTTTAAAAGAAACCAATTTAGCGATTTAGCCAGTAGGATGAAAATTATGAAACTAATTCGATACTATCATGTGTCTATTCTCTTTCGAGAAACTTTCCAAGAAATAACAATGGACGGGGTTTTTAAGAATTTGTACAGTATTTATGAGTTGATGGAACAAAGAAGCTGATTTTAATCTTAGAATATAGGAACATACAGTATTATAAAGGCAGCATATTGTGCACGTTATAAAATGTATACTGTACAGGTAAAATATGGTCTATATTCCATTTTTTCGGCAGAGTACGATTATGCGTGTTTCACCTTTTTTGTTATAGGATTGCGCGCAGAATCAAAATAGCTAAGGACATGATTTTAACTATTCAAAGGCGTACGATTGCTCCTGAAATTGGGTGCAACGTTGTCGAATTTTTTATTAAACAAGAATTAAGTTTTATCATAATTTTTTTTTAATATTTAAATACAGATATAAATATTTTAAAGCCCCGACACCTATTTCCAACTATGGCCAAATATTTAAGTATATTTTCTGGTGGCTTATTTTTACATAATCTTTGTTTTGCTTACAGATAAATTTAATTTTCTGTAACTCTTCCTTCGATTTTGGTCTGATTATGCCCTTGGAAATGGTTAATAATTTGATAAATGTTTCTGACTAAGTTAATATAAGGATAGTTATAACAATAAATATTGGAAGATGGGCACTAATTAACTGTGCGTTATATGTACCTTCTATGGAAACTTTCAGCCATTTTTTTCTAGACTTTTATTATTATAGTCACATCATGCACGATTATAGTATAGGTATATTCGTACATGTTTGGAAATTTACAATAAATCAGATTCATTATAAAAGTATGATTAAAAACATAACCAATTACTTTTTAGTGATGGAAAGTTTATCTGGTATTGACAATAATAAGTAGGTAATAAATAATCTACTATAGTATCATACGGATTTACCATGAAATACCATGAAATATATTCGGCAACGTTGCTTAAAAGTAAGAATAATATAGCGCGCGCAATTTTACGCCTAAAAAGGTAATGTCAATAAAGATCGCGCGCAATCGTATCGCGCCCCATTTTCTCATTTACTTCAAAAGTTGAAAAGCTATTGCATCCATTATCAAGAACAAGCACTTGCATCTAAACTTTAGGATACTTAAATGAACATGACATTATATTTAACAATTTCACATTTAGGTTAAGACTTTATAGTTTATATATATTTGTAATATATCGTATTATGTATTATATATTACAGAAAATAATCCATAATAATTATTTGCTAATTTACAATAAAAATTAAAAAGGTTGAAAACTTCTAGTATATAATATTAGAATTATTTGTAGAACTAGAACCTTTTTTTATGATTGTAAAAATTATAAACTCCTTCACGGAAATACAAAATATTTGTGACTTTTCTAATAATTATAAACATTTAGTTTTTAAGATAGATTTTCTGAGTTGGAAACAATAAATCTGTTGATAATACGACATTGATAATTACCGACGTATAATTTTAACAGTAATTATTATCGTGTAACCGGTAATAACGTAGATACCAGTAACAAAATATCAAGTGTCGTAAACCCTAAATTATAAGATTAATTATCGGCTATACCTAATCCTTGTGTCATACTGTCACGAGGAAAAATTCTATTCAAATTCTATCCCAAGTAATACATTTTGAGCGATATATCGATGTGAAAATGTGGAATTTATGGCAAGTTTAACAAGGATGTGCGTTTTTGTCAGTCATTGTATTTTTGAACTCTTAAAATCTTTTGATTTTTTTTTAAATTGTCTAATTTGTTGACTGCACTGACAGTTTAAGTTGCGGCCACATGAAATTGATTTTAATTGAGGAATGAGAGGCGTCGTCCGATTGCGGCTCCGAGTAACTTTTTTAACTTTTGGCCTATTCCGATTGTGTCCGATAGGTTAAATAGTATAAAATGTAAATAATGGAAATTTACGAAATGTTAAGCGAAAAAAATAAATATTAGATTTTCTACTTAAATATAAATGTCGATTTTATAAGTTATTAGTAAATGAAATAAAAAAATGTTGTAAAATTTTGTTGAACGATGCAATACATAGAAATTTTAATAAGCTAAAGTAAACTTGACATTAATGATCAAAATCATGAAGCCAATAATAAATAATGATCAGATATTGAAACGTTAAAAAATTCGAAATGGTATAAAAAGAAAGGCAACTAAAAATATTTGTGAGCGACCATCATAATTAATTCACGATGGTTTAAAAAAAAGTGGTTAAGTCCATAATTTATAATTTTGCATATATGTATATATATTATTATTTTTTTCGAAAATTAATAAGATTTTAATATAATAAATTTATTATTTTTTTAATAATCGGCTATTAACACATTAATTGTATATTTAAATACACATACAAATATACATCCATTCAGAAAGTATTTAATATACAAAATATACTTACCATGTGTTTAAATATTTTTTACGCGGAAAAATGTAAATAAGTAAAACTTGTTTTATAATAATTTTGAAATACTTAATTATTTGGTAATTAAACAGTTAATAAAATCAGAAATTAATTTAATTAATTTCTCAGGTAATAAATTATTAGCTATTAATTTTTCTTTGTAGGTCTCAGAAGTTGGTATATTAATTATAATAATCATAAACAAGATATGTTGTATATGACGTAGGTTGATATCATTCAATATTATATAACAACGAATAATTGTTTTAATTTTTTAAAGTATTTACATAAAAGTATTTGAATTTTAAATATAAATACGTCCAATACATTATTTAAAATATTTACCTTAGTTTATTAATTATAAGCTATTTTGTGAACCAATGTGTGTTTGAACTATAGACCTTGTACTTTTACGCAATCGAGATCCTTACATATTTGGGATAAAATACGACTACCTGTATTCGGGCCGTAATCTGGCAACTCCGGAAATGAGTAGATACTTGATATTTTCATTAAATATTTTTATTATAATTTACAAGAAAAATAATTAAACTGTTTTAGGTATTTTTAGGATATTATATAAAAACATGTAAATAATTGCATATTTAATATTACCAAACATATGCTTATTATGTCAATTAACTTCAAATGTTCGTTTAAAAATAATTTACAACATGAATTAAATATAGTTCTAACCTAACAAGATATTATTTTAACAAATACGCAGCCAAAAAAAAAAAAAAAAAAATGTACATTAAAATTTTAAATATTAAAATTGTATAGTTACACAGAGCTTCAATGTTAATGATAAGTGAGTTATTAATTTACTATTATAAATGAGCAATTAATTTAAAAAAAAAAAATTGAAATCGTTATCGTTTAATAGGTAGTTGTATAATGTATTTATGATAATTATATTAATTCATTCAACCAACTCTTCTTTTCTTAGTCATACAAAAATATAGATTTTTTATGCAGTTCTATATTTTTTTATTTTAAATATTTATATATATTCTCTTAGTCTGTGATGTAGCTTAAAAAAAATACATTTGGCATACTGTGGATCAATAATCTCTGCGATAGTATTCATTCGTAAGAAAACCTATTGACAAAAAAGTTCCAATATGGCAATGTATAGATATTTTAAAATGTGGTTAAATTATTTAACATTTACTTACCTTATATTATATATTATAATATGCGTGAATTCATAAATAAAAACAGTGGAATATCGATAAGTCGAAATTCAATGGAAATGCAATTTTTTCGGCTTATCGAGGTTTTTGACTTATTAAGGTTTTTGCGTCGAATCCCTAATGGTTCCCGTCTATTGTTTGCTTATTTCCAAACAGCTCCCGTCAAAAAGTTTTACAAACAGGTATAATTATATGATTGTAAACATTACAATAATTATTAGACATATGGACGCCTGTCTGATCGAAAAAAACAAGTGTTCGTGGAAAAAATCATTTATGAGTTTTCATCAAATAAAATAGCACGCAGACTATATAAAAAAATTGTGCCTAACAAATTTACCTAATGTATGATTGTTTTAGTATTATTATTTATACAATCATGTTTTACATTATTTATATTTTTTAACGTTAAAAATTTAAATTTTCATATTATACTATAAGCTTTTTTTATACAATTTTAATAATTTACTTAGTGTACACCAAGACATTTTTAACCATATATTTTTTGAGATAGTCCTAAATCTGTATACAGTGGAAAAAAATTTGTGTTGTAAAAAACCGAAGCCGTTTAAGAATTTACCTGTTCGTTGGACCTTTTTGGACGGGAGCCGCTTGGAAATTGATTTTTTTGTAAAACGGGAGCCGAATGGACTATGACCGGTTTTCGAGTTACTAAGGTTTAGAAAAAAATAGACTTAAATATTTTTTAAATGTATGTATTAAAGTTTTTAATTATCATTTACAATGTATAAAAATTGATTATATAGGTTATTTAAATAAAAAAAATATAATAAAACACGTGTTGTAACTTTATAACAGATAATTTGTTATCTTACTTTGACTTAAAATTTGAGATTTGCTATTATCAATAATATTTTCTACTATATTTAAAGCAGAGTACCTACACTTTATCGTCCACATTATTTAAATGTTCGATGAATGTCCTAGCAATATGAGTACTCCTGTTGCTTGCTTCGTTGAAACACGATGCACAGGCTCAGATAATACATCTTCAGTGCCACGAACGGAGTCAGTTATATCATCGTCTGTCAGAACACCAGAAACGGCAATGTCCTTGTCGATTTCAACAAAATCATTAAAAGTTTTTTCCACGATTCCGTAACGACTTGCTATCAGCGTCCATTCTCTGTCATCCGAATCATTATTTTCGATTATAGGCATCAATGTGTCGATTTTCTCAATTTTAAGTACAAACCCACACGATCTAAAGCAGTTCACGATTGTTGATGTTGTTACGTTTCTCCATGTTCTATCAACAATGCGCATAGCTTGAAGAATATCGATTACTGTAGATTTTTCGTCATCCATATCACTTATAATTTTTCTCACTATTTCTTTTCTATAAAGCGTCTTGAATGTTTTAATAATTCCTTGGTTTAAAGGTTGCAATTTTGAATTGGGATTTTGTGGTAAAAATTTGACTTTTACAGCTTGACAATTCGGTAAAGAATTGTGAGCCGAACAATTGTCTATAAACAATAAAATGTTACGTTTTTGTATTTTCATCTGTTTGTCTATTCGTAATAGCCATTCCGCAAACAATTCACTAGTCATCCATGCTTTCTTATTTGCTGTATAATCAACGGGAAAAGATTTGACACAAGAAAAACACCTCGGATTTTTAGATTTTCCTATTATTAAAGGTTTCAGTTTATCTGTACCAGTCATGTTAACAGCCAATAATAGTGTGAGTCGTTCTTTGCTACGTTTACCACCGTTACATTTCTCATTTTTTAATGTTAAAATGTTATCTGGTATATATTTGTAAAAAAGTGCAGTTTCGTCTGCATTAAATATATCACATGGTTTATATCCTTCCAGTAGCTCACTCAAATGTAATTTCCATTCATTTACTATATCATCACTGACAGTTGCACTTTCACCACAGACTTTTCTAAAAGCAATATCGTGTCGTTTTTTAAAACTTTCAAGCCACCCGTTACTGGCCTTAAATTGTTCATGACCTAATGATTTTGCGAAATTTTTGGCTTTTTCTTTTAAAATAGGACCTCCGATACTGACTTTGGCATCTTTGCATTGTTTGAACCACTTAACTACACATTCTTCTACGTCTGAAAAACCAGGGCCTCTCTTCCTCTTCCGGTCTGTTGGAAAGTTTAAATCATTTTCCTTACTATTCTTTATTATGGTTGATAATGTGCTGGCTGGTATTCCAAATTCTTCCGCAATGTCCTTTTTTTTTCTTCCAGTTTTCACTGCTTCAAGAACCTTTTGTTTTTCTCCAATAGTAAGCGTTTTTAAATAACGAGGCATTTTTTACATTCACAACCGTACAGAGATATCGAACACGCGTAACCGATCGATCGCAACTGACAATACCGATACAAATGAAAAATGCTGTTGCGTGCCAAGTTAATTAATTCATACGATAATAAACGCGATTAGATAAAATTATTGGAATGGACAAGCTGATTAGATAAATGTTTATAAAATTATCTGTCATTAACCGTCTATATTTGGAGCACAAAATGTTCGAGTTATCTATAGTTTTTTTTCCAAGTAATCGGGGTTTTCGAAAAGAAACAGAATTTTTTTCAACTTATCAAGGTTTTTGACTAATCGCGGTTTGACTTATCGAGGTTCCATTGTATGTGTATTATGTAATGTATAATATGTATTTAATTTTACTTTATTAATTTAGACTCAGTTTAATCAAATCAAAATTGTGGATCATATTTGATTATTTTAATGTGTATCCAATTATGCGAATACATAATGAAGTAACAGATATTTCTTTTGGAAATATTCAACTATCCAATTATTTGATAATAATTATTATCATGTTTCAATGTAATTTCTCCACTTTGTCTTATTTTTAAGAAATTCATTTAAATTAAAAATAATATTTAAAGAAGTACGAGTACTTTTGTATATTATTATAGTAAAATGTAGCATTTTAAAATTAATTGAAAAAATGACTTATATAATATTGTAGTTATGTGTATTACTTATGTATTTTCTTACCTTTTTGTTTTTGATAGTCTCTTCAATTATAAGATCTTTTTAGATTATAGGTTTTTTACTGAATGTGGGTATTTCACTTCAATTATGGTATCTGTTCTAATAAGTCCATCTAAAATAATACTATAATGATATTTATATGTAAATACACAATTTAAATAAGCAACTTTTGGTGAACTCACCTAGTGATTCTCCCATGAATGTAAAATCTTCATCAATTATCAAACCACATTTTTGAACCAGTGTCCTTTATTTTTTTTTTTTCAAAATATTCCAAGGCGTATCTTTACCATATTTATATGTTATTGGCTCATTCGTACTAGAAAATGTACTGTATAATTTGTTGAAAACAATAGTTTTACACAATTTAACTGGGCACATCTTGCATATTTTTTCAAAAACAGAAGCACGATTACACCTTCCTATAAAACCATAATATTAATTACTTAGAATTGAAACTTAGCTGTCGATTAATTTCTAAAGTATTACGTTGATACTTTGATTAAGTTGTTTTTTGGATAAACCCTTTTTTTTTTAAATTATATTTCTTCTACTAAACATCTTTTGTCTATTGCTAAACCCTAAAATACATCTGGCCTAGTGTATTTTATTTTTTAGACTATTTCGTAGGAAAGAGACGTCTTTTTTTAAGTTTTTGTGTTTGTACTTTCTGGTAGTCGAACATTTTTCACCAACCACACCTTAAAAATTTATATTCATACTTATGTAATAGAAAATTATTATAAAAGTATATAAATAGTGTATGAACTTAAGTTTTATTTTATATCTGGACTTTTATACATCACTTTATTATGAACAGCTCTAAGAAAACTACCACTAGTATTGTAGAAAATATAGTAAGATTATTTTGGCTTATTTTTAGTAATTATGGATATTTTAAAATTTAAAATTTTTTTTAGATGTGAAACGTTTACTGACACGCCTTGATTATACGATCCCGTGACAGTCTGAACTCCAAAGTTCAATGCCATGACCTCCCGCTCCGTCATTGTTATAGTGCGACGGCGGTGGCGCTTATTAATAAATGTAGCCCAAAATAATCGTGGTGTGTGTTATCACTGTTATCTTACCTATGTACCATTGTTATAAATATGACATACATGTGTTGTTTTCTATCAATATCACGTTCTCCGCTTGTTTACATAGTAAATACTAACTTGCTTTTCAATATTAATTGTATTGAATGTAGTCTAATCTCATTAATTGTAAATACTTTTAATATCTATTAATTCCAATGTTTCACATCTACCAGGCATCCCGTGAGTCACGACAGCTCTTTTATTTAATTGTGTTAATAAAAAAAAAGTTTATTTAAAATTTTAAAATTTATTATATTTTGCAATTTTATTGACAAGAAAATGGTCGCAGTAATGAAAAAATAGAATGTTATAATCAAAGATTTAATTACAGAAACAATAGCCCATACCTAAGTAGGTAGATAAAATTACGAAAATAGGGAACTCGAGTAACGAAATTATAATAAACAAAATTCTAGATATTTCTAATGTAGAGACAAATAATTACAAGAGATAACAGTTATGATAGAAATCATACCCAATAATATCATAATCGTTCATTAAGTCATTGTTTTCCTGTTTTATATTTTGTCAAGAATGTTGTATAGTTATTAAGTAAATATTAATAATTTAACCTAAGCCTAACGCACTACTCGCACTAATGTATAAAACATTTTATTACAACTTTCAATAAGTGACATACGGACGTTTTTTTTGTTAGCACGACGCGTGTAAAAACATAGAAAATCTCAACCATAAGTAACTACTATTAAGGACTGACTCAAGTCACTCAATTACTAATTACTTTAGGTTGCGGCCTTGTGCCCGCACAATTATAGTGGTCTGTAGATGCACACATCAAGTCGGACAGTCGGTGTTTTACCGGTCCTATGGAAATATAACGCGTTTGTAAATAATAAGACCGCTCGAAAAAATGTATCGATGCAGTGTAATACCGACTTTAATTTACTATTTCTAAACTTAGATATTTTAATAAAAAACATCGATGACAGTACGCAGTGCTCTTAAATCCGTGGTTGTACAGGCTGCAGTATATATATATATATACTACTTACGCCTTAAACCGGGCCTGATCACAATAAAATTCTGACACAAAAATGAATATCGACAGCAAATTTATAAACATACAATATGGTACTTTCAATTTCATTAAGATTGCAATTATTTATCTACATTCCAAAACGAAGTAGACGATTATTCTTTAGGAAATGTTAAACGATATTTCCTGGGTAATAGTTTTGTTCAAGATTCTCGATTATTTTTAATAATGGATAATGAAAACGAGTGATTTGTTGACTTGATAAAACAGCTGAAACCGGATTGAACACGATTAACCTTTTTCACAGCCCTCTTGAACACGGTCGCAATCAAACAATAGGAGGCCAACAAAAAAACAGGATTGGGCTCGAAAATATGTGCGACGTTGCCACTTTGTACCGTAAAATATAAAATAAAATACATTTAAATATAAATCTTCTTTTGGTTTTAAATCACATACCACTACATATTAAGACAGTGTTTGCTGGGTCAGTGAAGTATACCACTTAAACATGAAAAAAGTCTTTACTATTTTACAAAGTACATATTATTTTTGAGGGAACACGAACACGATACAACAGAATAGACTGATCAAGTCTTATTTATTTAACAGCTCAAGTACATTGTATATAACAGTTAATCACAATTTTATGCAATCGTTGTAGATGAAAGTTCTGGTTTTCTATCTATCCCAGTTATTTTTAAATTCCATGGGTGTTTGTCGACTAATATGTTAGTTACCTATTAGTAATCTGAAAAGTGACTCACCCGCTCAATTGAGTATCACCGGATGACGTACATGTTATTGCTTAATCAATCATAATTTATAGCACAAAACACATGAAGCCAATGTAGCGCACTCACAAGCAAACGAATATTAGCTGATTCTAATAACATTAATTTAAAATATAACAACAATTTAAAAAAAAAATGCAAAACCTAACATTTTGTCGTCCGCAACCAACGCTTTTCCTTACGCTAAAAACGTCAGTGGTCAAGTCACTCTGCAGTGGTGCTGGATCACCTATAATATTACATTACCAATCCACTGGTATATGTACTAGTGTGAAACGGTAATTCTGAATCACTGAAATCAGTATAACCAAACATAAATCAAAATATCTATTTCATCAATGTTGAAAATTGTTGGGAAAGTATTGATCGTGTACAAGTATACGAATCCAACGTTCTGCAATACGAATAATTACAAGGAAAGTATTATTTAATTTTAAAAAATGAAGACGTTTGACCACTAAAAATTAAACCAACGTAGGTACTTAACCTACGCTTCAATGCATACTAACGAGTGTATTTTTCTCTAATGTAATCATAGAAAAATAATCTTGTCCATAAATTATAATATTATTACTAATTGTGTAAAACACCCTATTGGTCTGTACTCTGTTGAGTATTCACTTATAAGTCTGTTAAAACTAATTATGAGTAATATAAACATGGTATAATACAATATTAAAAATGTATAACAATAATTTTACTATTATACTTATACACTATTTTCGGTAAAAATAAGTTAAGCCTAGCATATTGTGTAGTGACCTAAATTTTTATAAACTAAATATTTATTAAACTAATTACTGCAGGTACAGTGGATCACGCAGTCGACTTCCTTTACAAAATAAATTTAAATTGTTTGTTATAATGTTTTAATTAATGTGTAAGTGGTTCTTGTAGATATGTAAAAATATTTAAAACATAAAGGCACAATATTTTGACATAACTCATCAAAATTGCGAGAATTTACAAATTGTTTTGCAGTTGAAAATGTATAAGATGTGTTATTTTTATAGCTAAGGTTTAACAATTTAAAATTAACTTTCTCGTAAGTAATTCATCCTGGAAAGTGAAAAAAATCTAAAAAATAAATAAGCATTTTTTTTTTTAAGAAAAATGAATACATTTTTTTAACTCGAACAAAATTACATATTTAAACTATGATTAATGATATCTATTATTTTATATTTACAATGACATTTTCAATAATAATATTCTCAAGAGAAACTAATTAAACCTACCGTTTTACAAATAGTAAAATAAATTACTTATTTAATTGTAATATCAATATATTGAAATATACTTAATGATATTATTGTATGCTCATAGATTGTTTAATCAGACGTCTACACTCAGCAGAGGAGGCTCATCAGGGGAGAACAGTTACTTGTTAATAATAATTAA